TTGACCCAGCTGTTGGGTTGTTTTGACCCAGCTTTTGGGTTGTTTTGACTCTGCTATTGGGTTGTTTTGACCAAGCTGTTGGGTTGTTTTGACCCAGCGGTTGAGTTGTTTTGACCCAGCTATTGGGTTGTTTAGACCCAGCGGTTGAGTTGTTTTGACCCAGCTATTGGGTTGTTTTGACCCAACTGTTGGGTTGTTTAGACCCAGCGGTTGAGTTGTTTTGACCCAGCTATTGGGTTGTTTTGACCCAACTGTTGGGTTGTTTAGACATAGCTATTGGGTCAAAACAACCCAATAGCTGGGTTTGTCCCTTTTTAATTTTTAGAGTGTGGTATCTTCTTAAACTAAGGAATGAATATGAATCATTTTCATAGTAGTACACTGAAAAAGAAAATGGATGTAGAAACAGTTTTTACTCAGAAATTGCTAGTAAATTTCACAAATATTGCAAAGAATTTAAATATGAAAATTTAAAGTAGAAAGACTGAAATAGTATTTTCTTGTAACAGTGTTCTACAGTGTAGAAAATGTGTTCAGAAAAAGAAAAGCATCTTACATGTCTCCGATGTATATTCCAGGCCTGACCTCGTCCAGATGGCCGCTGGTTCCAGCTTTGACCCACAGGAGTCTCTGGAGCTCAGAGGCTGGAGGAGTCTCGTAGCGGGGCATGTCGGCCCACCGCCGCTGCTCAACGAGAGACCAAACCAACACCAGGAGGTCAAAGTGAAAATGTCATTTATGATGGCACACAGCAGGCACTTTTGGTTCTCTTGCATCTTGTCAACAGTCGCATAAGTTTGAATATATGCAAGCACATATGAAATGTATTGTATTGTAAGACAGAAGAATAGACGTTAATGCTGCTTTATTATGCTATTTTTGTCCGTTTCAGAGTTCAGTAGCCCACTGTACACCTTGAATTTACGAAAAGCGCCAGCTCAGACTTTCTGCAAAACTCGTCTTATTTTATGTGCCATGGGAAAAGAAAGCCACATGGTCACATAAACAACACAAAGGTATGTTTTAATTTTTGTTTTAATAATTAATTGAAGCAGAATGTATGAATTATTAAAAATTAAAAATAATGAAAAAATTAAATACATTTTTTTAATATATATTTTTCAGCTAGTTGCCAAAATAACCACAACTAAAATTGAAATAACAATTAATAAAATCTATGTAGACATATTTTTAAAAAAAAACTCTGAACACTGTGCAAAACAAAGTATTACCAATTATGTATTACCAACCTATGTGTTGTGGTATTATTTGGTTTGCCACACCTTAATAATAAAAAATCTAATAAAATGATACAAACAACTTTAACATCAAACATTTGGTTTAAAATATTTAACTTATTTTCAAGTTGACACCCTCATGTAAGCTAATAGTGAATCCATCAATGAGCAATGACTAACTTTATCTCTTTATGAATATCCTGTTCATTTTCTTGTGTTAAAGTGCCATTATTAAGTCTCAGTCGAGCATGCATGTGATCAAATAACAGTTTTACACATTGCAATTCAAATATTATTCAGTAAACCTCAATATAACCAATACATATAATGAATCTATCTGAATAAATCTAAAAGATATTTTCAAGCACAAACAGACTCACGGTGTGTTGAGGAACAGCTCGTCGGTGTGTGTGCATGCGTGTGTGTGTGGCGTGTTGTTCACGCTGATGACTTTATCTATTTATATTTATAATCTGATTCATGTGGCTCTAAACACTCTTTCTTCAGGATCCTGATCGGGAAGCACCACAGAAGAAACCATATAAGATCATCTGGTGAGAAGATCCTCAGTAATATCACACTGATTATAACCCAATATAGACTCTCCAGACAGAGAGAAGATTCTGCTCATTTCCACACACTGCAGTCGCCCTCGTCTGTGTCCGAGTAACAGCGTCTCAAATTAGACAAGCTCATTCCCACAGCGGCAAGATAAAAATACATCAGCTCTCAAAGTCAACACTTCACCCTCAACACAAGGGACTTCATTTGCTCTGCTAAATATATAAATAGTTTATTTCATTATATATATATACAGTATACACACACACACACACAGTGTATATACACTGTGTATATATATATATATATATATGGTCAATAAGATTTGTATTGTTTTTTAAAGTCTCTTATTCTTTAAAGTTCTTTAGAGTCGCAAAAATACAGAAAAACAGTAATATTGTAAGATATTATTACAATTGAAAATAACCATTTTCTATTTTAATATAATTTAAAATATAATTTATTCTTGTGATGCAAAACTTTTGCATCATTACTCCAGTAAAAAGCAGCTTTCCAGCAAAGCAAATGAACTCACTTGTGTATAAAACTACAGAAATAAAATGTACAGTAAAATATAAAGTCATGGCATTAAGTCAAATTGCTTGATATATCTGTTTTTTTGTTTTTGTTTTTTAAATCAGATTTATAGCAAACCCTTTTCTCCTTTCACCGACGATCTCTCTGTATCATACTGTGTATATACTCTCTGAAAGTGCATAGACATTGAAGATGTTAGCTGATGGACTGGAGTGCTGTGGATTACTGTGATGTTTTTATCAGCTGTTTGGACTCTCATTCTGACGGCACCCATTCACTGCAGAGCATCCATTGCTGAGCAAGTGATGTAGTGCTACATTTCTCCAAATCTGATGAAGAAACAAACTCATCTACATCTTGGATGACCTGAGGGTGAGGACATATTCAGCCAATTTTCATTTTATGGTAAACTATTCCTTTAAGAAAAGAAAATAACTTTTTCTTTTGCATAAGCTCCGCCAACAATCAGATCTCATTGGTCCAAATTCCAGCTCCACGTTACTGTAAGCATCACATATTGATTGCATTTCTGTTTTCGCTTTCAGTGTGGCGAATCAAAGCACTTATCACATGTGGCCTGGTTAGGACGCAGTGTTACGATCATTCATCACGTGATCAGTCCTGTAGCTGTTTGCTCAGAGCAGGACACATCGTCTGTGCTTCTTCTTCCTCTGCAGGTCCAGGTCCAGCAGCAGAGCCAGGAAGTTCCTGTTGGGATAGATGGCTCGTTTCTGGATGATGCGCCGTATGGCCGCGTGCAGAGGCATGTCGTGATAGAGATATGAATATGATTTTTAGTTGTCAAACCGAAGACTTGAGCAGCTCGTACTCACACGTTCCCGATGTACAGGTTTGGCCAGACCTCATCGATTTGGTGCAAGTTTAACTTACACGAGTCCAAAACTTTCTCCAGGTCCTTGACTGACAGATACTCTTTCCTACTATATTTACGGGCCATCGCTTCTTTCCTGAATTACCTGCCAAAAGATGAAGAGAGCGTGTTTATAATGATCCCACACAACAGTTTAGTGCTTCAGTGAGCAGATAGTCTTACTCACAGAGACACACTCACACACTCCACAAATCCACTGCAAACAGACAGATCTGATCTGGATACCCTCCTTCATAGTTTATAATGAGAACATCTGTCAAACTCCAAAAAGGCATACAATATTGAAGTCATTATTCACTGATAATCTTCGGAAATCTTTTTCACTTTTGCATTCAGATTCAGAAACTGATGCATTGTAAATCATGCAGCTCTGCTTTTTGTAGATTAACAGACATTATAAACTCTATGCATACAGAAATTAAGATATTAAAAAAATATCCTGTTGTTTTTCACAGATAAAATAACAGCACATAGGTGTGGAACGACGTGAGAGTGAGTACATTTTGAAATATAAGAAATATTATTCTAAACATTTTGGTAATGCCAGTAAAAAAATGAATGAATAATTATCTGAGAGCAAATATAACAAAACATCCAAATGTACAAAACTAAAATAAATATGAAGAAAAATGACTTGTAACGATATGAGGGTGAGTAAATAATGACAGAATGTTCTTTTTTTGGGCAAATTATTATTGAGGGATTTTTAAAAAAATATTAGAAATATTATTCTAAAATGTTGGTAATGCCAGATTAAAAAACGGAGTGAATGAACAAACAAAAAACAAACAAATAAATGCATAAATAAATAAAAATGAGCAAACAAATAAATAAATAAATATCTGTGGGCAAATATAACAAAACAGCCAAACATAAATTTCATTTACACAGTTTTGTAACGACATAAAGTAAACATGACATGGAGTAAATAATGACCACATTTTCTTTAATGGATGAATTATTGAGGGAAATTACGAAATATTATAATAAACATTTGGTCATGCCAGTGAAAAAATAAATATATATATATTATTTATTTATTTCTCTATATAAACTTTTTATCTACAGAACTTTTATTATTATAATTTTTTTGATTATAGTGAAATTTTGAAATATTCTAAAGAGTTTGATTAAAGCCACAATAAATAAATAAACAAATCAATCAATCTGGCTGTGGGCAAATATAACAAAACACCCAACTAAATAAAAAATGATAATGCTTTAATGATAATAACAAAAAAATATATATGATAATAATAATAATAATGGAGACTTTTACATTTAAATATAATAAATCTTAAGTAATTAATGACATTTGACTACTAATCTTGCACTCTTAAAAACAAAGGTTCTTTATTGGTGTTGATGGTTCCATATAGAACCTTTCACATCCATGGAACATTTCAATTGAACAAAAGGTTCTTTATAGTGGAAAAATGTTCTTTAGATTCTATTCACACTAAAAACGGTTGAATTAAGAACTGCTCGCTGAAAGGATCTTTGGGGACCCCAAAATGCATCTTCTATGGCATTTCTGCGAGAACCCTTTTAGGAACTTGTATTTTAAAGAGTGTAACATGTACTTGAGTCCTCTTCTAAAGACAGTCTGACACCGGCTGGTGCTGCTGGAATGTTGTTGGTGTTCATCTGCAGCATTCAGATCAGCGTAGAGTCGCATCCAGAGCCCGCAGCTGTTTGAGAAAGCCTCGGTTTGGGAAGATCCAGCGGTGCTGTTTGACCGCTTTAATAGCCTCCAGCAGAGAAAGATGCTGGTGTACCATGAGATAAGCCAGAACCAGAGACGCCGAGCGACTCACACCGACCGCGCAGTGAACCAGAACACGCTCTGCAGACAACAACAGAAGGACATGTTATATCTATAGCCCTCAAACATGAAATCTGACCATCTCGGCTTGGATTTGAGGATTTAAGCTTGTCGAACAGAATAACATTTATAGTTTGCAGGCCTACATTTTCAACTTAGATTTTTCAATTTCTTTTCAAGAATCGGCTAAAAACACAACTCTTCCATCTTTATTTAACTCTAGCACTCTCTATTCTAATTCTATTCTTTAAAAAACTAACACTAGCTTCTCTAATCTTTTTGTATTCTATCTATTTGTTTTCTTTTTATTTATTATACAATTAACAAAAGCAAAAAAGGCCTCTAACACTAGCTTGCTCTATTCTGTTTCTATTCTGTCTGTTTGCTTTTTATTTATTTAAAGTTAACTGTGATTTGTTATAGCACTTGCATATCACTGCTCTTTTATTGATTTTGATTGCTTCCATTGTCCTCATTTGTAAGTTGCAGTCAAAGGTTCTTTAAAGAAGCATCTCTTTCTTACCTTTGTATAATCTGTAGAACCTTCTTTTGCCACAAAGAAGCTTTTGTGAAACAGAAAGGTTCTTCAGATGTTAAAGGTTCTTTATGGAACCATTTAGACAAAAAGCTTCTTCTATGGCATCGTGAAGCACCTTTATTTTTAAGAGTGTAAACCCAAGCTTTTTTACAGTTTTACCTCCTGGAGAACTGAGAACCTCCTTTATATAATCAGCGCAGGGGTGAAAATAAACCGACAAGTTAAACGATGGTGAATCGTCAGCGGGGACGCCGTAATACTCGACTGTTGAGCCGTAAAACTGGTGGCTGCCCTGGCAGTGCATCTTCCCGTGAGCGGCGTTCAGGACACGAGTGATGCCCAGCTTCCACACACTGAAGCGATCGTTGGCCACAGACCTGCAGATCAGTAATATACAGCTGTTAAAGCATCAGACGGGCCCCAGAGCACGCCGATTCTTTATGATCCCCATAAAATCAAACTCATCTAGAAAATAAGTTTCTGACAAAATGCTGCTGAGAGGTTAATGTGGTGTACGATTATGAAAAAGGAAAAAAAATATTCTTCTACATTCAGCTTTATATTGTTTGGCATTGTACACACACAGCATTTCTGGGCATGTTATGTGGATTTGAAAAGTGCAGAACTGCAAAAAGTGCTGGCCAAAAATGCTGTCTAGCTAGGTAGGCACATTATGTTTGAAACACAGCTTACAATTCAACAGTTATATTAGTTTTATTGATACACACACACACACACTTTTACTTGATGTACTAAAATAACTAATATAAATATAAAAATATAATATAAAATTAAAAACTGTTAAAACATTCATTAACTATATAATAATATAAAATATTTTAAAGTATATTACTTTATATATACACACTAAAACTTTAATTATTATATATATATATATATATATATATATATATATAGTGCATTGTGATTGGCTGAACACCGCAAGCACTCGTCGGAAATGTAACGTCCCTTACCATAATCACGAGCTTCATCTTTCTAAATAAATGTAAAGACAGAGCCCGAAAGGGGAACCGAGTCGCGTGACAGACACAGTGATGATGCAGTACACAAGCCGTGGTTAAGACAGCTGACGTGCTATGATTCCTGACAGACAGTTCACTCTCCTGTGATGTGACCCTGTTCCCCTCTCTCACTCACACACACACACACTCGACACATTACTCTGCGCTGCACAAAATTCTGCATTTGTACAGTCAATAGCAAATACTTAAACTAATAACAAACAGTAGCAGATTCAGAAGCGCCAGATTGTCAAAGCAAAGTCAGAATGACCTCCTCTCCTCGGTTCACGAAACGGTCGTCCATAAAATGCATTGCTGTTCTGTTGTAAGTGATCTTAAAGATTCCTAAATGCATCTACTTCCGGAAGACCAAATAAAGTGCTTTAGCTTTCGTCTAGAAACACACAGCGTCTCCCTGACATGCTGCTTCAACACTAACTGCTGTTACTGAAACCACGCCTTCTTTCTTTGCTGCACATTTGGGCGCATTATGCAAATATTCCCACATAGTGAGGTAGATATGTGGGGGCGTGTTAGAACGAGCCGTTTTAGGGGGGCGTGGCAGAGTCTTAACTTTGATAAAGAATATCTCTTTGGTTTTGAGACTTTAGTCTTTGCAACTTCAGGGATCTTATCTATGCACAATCAGCTTGTAACACTCCAAAGAGAAAGGAAAGCTTGAAATCGCTTCATATGACCCCTTTAAAGCCATGAGAAACCCAGCAGCGCTCTGAATAAAAGCGCTGTAATTCCACCGCTGGCCAGCGGATGTCGCTGTGGAAGAGGAAGTGACCTCATCTGCGGTATTTACACACTGAAACTGAAACACACTTCCACACGCAGCTGTCAGCTCGACTGTGCTCGTCTAGCCGTGTCAGGGCGCGATGATTTACCACAAACGTCCCGACAGAGTGGCATTTAGGAGATTTATCGCGATTCGGACCGAAGAATCTGATGTGTAACGTAAGTGAAGCGCAGCAGGCTAACCGCTAGCATGCTAACACACTCTGAAATATCATAATAATACTAGAGTGATGAATTGTAACTGGCGTATGAATCCAATTTCAGGTTCTATTTTCATTTTTTATTGTTGTGATAGGTCTGAGTGAGAAATGTTAGTCATGTAGTGTCTTTATTCAAAGGCATTTGCGGATTTAAAGTGACACACTGAATATTCATGTCATTTAGTGATTTTTAATATTTTGTTATGATTATAAGCCTCGTTTACCTCAGTCAGACGTTCATTTAAGGATTTAAGTCAGCTTCAGATATCACAAATCAGTTGTTACATCTAGTTAATCTAACCTAGTTAAACAACATTTTGTGTAAAATGCTTTCTAAGTAGACAGCTCACTAGGTTTTGAGACACATCCAGTGTTATTCTAACAGGTTCCTTATCAGCAAGCTTGATTAAAGTCCTTAGTGTAACGAGTTGAGAGACATAATTATACCTAAGGGTACTAACAGGCTCATATTACTTCACTGTTGTTTTCTTGCGGCTGATAACGCGGCCTTATTAAGCTTTGCGGCGGGGGCGTGGTTAGCAGTGGGCGTGGCTAGTGTGGGCGTGGCCACATGTTGGTTCGACAGCGTTGGGCGTGGCTTCTGCTGTGATAATGTTAATGTGCAAAAGTACATATTTTAAAAATCAAGTCGGTTTGAGTGAATGACTAGCGGACTAATTAGTCTTAACTGGAATGAAAGGTTATAATTAGACTTTACATTTTACATTAGCTTCCCCCACAGAATAACAAATAAAAAAGGTAATTGCAACTTGACTTCTTTTTCTTGCATTGCAACTTTATATCTCACAATTTAGACTTCTGTTCTCAGAATTTCAGGTTTCCTTTATCAAATGCAAGTAATAAACCCACAATTCAGACTTTTTTTCCCTCAGAAATGTGAGTTTATGTGTCGCAGTTCTGAGTTTGTATCTCACAGTTCAGTTTTTTTTTCAGAAATGCAAATTGTGAGATAAAAGTTGCGGTTAACTTTTTTTATGCACTATTTTCCTGGAGCCGTACAAATTATATGATCTACTTTTATGGTATACTTTTCTAAATTCCTTTCCAATTTTGAGTAAAATAAGTAGTAAATACATTTATTCTGATGGGATTGAAAAATAATGTTTATTATCAGCAACTTGACTTGTTCTAGAATGAAGTTTGAAGTTTGATAAAATAACACCAGTGACAACTGCAATAGTGCGGTCACTGTCTTTATTTCAGTGAAGGTCATTTTCTGACATTTTAAATATGATGTTTACTCTTTACTTACTGATTTGTTATGCAAACTATGCAAAGTCTGATACAGACATGCACATGTTCAGATGTGATTTCACATGCATCTCTGTATTGCATGTGCCTAAAGCTGTGTTTAGCGTCTTCTTTTGGGGAGAAAAAGACTATAAAGTCACTGCACTGTCATAAGACTGAGGACGCACGCTGATGCAAAGCTGTTAGACGGTCGGTCAACACATGTGCTGCTGAGCTGTGAGGGTTTCCTCTGCGTGCAGCGGTGTTTCACTGATGTGTCAGTGGATCTGTGGCTGTTTCAATCAGGAAAAGAGGATGTTTCATCACATCTTACACTGATGCCAGCACAAACAGCTCAGTGTTTCATCTGTGAGTGAGACGTCAGCAAAAAAAAAGAGCTGTTTCTGTTCCTGTGGTGTGTTAAAATGAAACGTTATATTGGGTGGAAAGTAGTTTGTGTAAGTGTGGTTGTGTTTCTAAGCATTACAGATCTGTTGCTTCGGAGCAGAGCTAACAGCAGACGTCCAGAGGTGAAAGAGTGTTTTCTGAGAGCTAATGAACCGAGATTCAGAACAGAACAAGATGTATTCAGACCTACTTTTTGAACTCTTTCTATGCCAGCGGTTCTTGACCTTTTTGTCTCCTTTTGTCCATAACAATAATTGAAGGCCGGCAGTCATAGTTTCTGACCATTAAGTTCCAGGATTCCGGAATGTTTTTCTGGATTCTTTTTAAATAATGAACTTGCATTAGTTTTCCAGTCGTGCATGATTTACTGGGTAAACGAGTACAAATATTTTTACTCGCTATTTCTACCTGAATAAAAAAAAAAAAAAAATTATATATATATATATATATGCTGCACATTGGCATAACAAGAATTGCCCTTAACACTGTAACAAACTATGTGATTAATAAGTCAAATTTTTTTGTTGTTATGTTATTATTATTTCTTTGATCAAGAATATATTTCTTTAACTATTTAAAATAATTAACCAATTTCAACTTCATTTTTTAAGTAAGTTTTTTTTTTTTAAAGTAAATTTAATGCAATTTAAGTTGAAATGACTTGTACAGCCAATTTGATTACTCAAAAAAATTAAGGCAGCATGTGAACTCTGTAGGTGGAATTCTTTTTACCGTGTTAAATAAATTAACATGACTGTACAGGTCTAGAAATCACACTTAAAGGGGTCATGTGATGCTTTTTTAAAGATCATTATTTTGTCCTTCTTTCTTTGCGTGCACATTTGGGCGCATTATGCTAATATTTCCACATAGTGAGGTAGATATGTGGGGGCGTGTTAGAACGAGCCGTTTTAGGAGGGCGTGGCAGAGTCTTAACTTTGATAAAGAATATCTCTTTGGTTTTGAGACTTTAGTCTTTGCAACTTCAGGGATCTTATCTATGCACAATCAGCTTGTAACACTCCAAAGAGAAAGAACAACTTGAAATCGCATCATATGACCCCTTTAAAATTAAACTACCACATATATCCAAGTTTTCCCAAGACACATAGTTCTTCAAACGCAAAAACAGGTATTAAGGGGTTGAATTAAAATAAGAAATATCTTAGTTATTTTAGCTTATTTTAATGCTTGTTTTGTCTTATTTTAAATCATTTTAAGTCTTGAGAGCCCCTTATGGTTGAGAATCAGTGCTTTCAAAATGTCTGCTAAATTACATTTTAATTTTTTTCTTTGTATTTTTCTTTATTTTTATTTTCTCTTTTATAATTTTTTATTTTTTTTTTGCATTTATGAGCAAATACATTTTTTTCCATACTAAGTAATTGACCTATAATTTGTCAATGCAAAGTCTGATCTTCATGAAATTGTTCACGTGACAAATGAACAAAATGACTTGGACCAGAACACAGTAGCAACATGGAATCATAATTATCTCAGGCTGCATTATAACTATTTCATAATTCGGAATATGATCAAAGATGGCATATGTGAATGTGTTCAATTTTTTTCAACTCGGCATAAACTAACAAAATGAATGAAATTACTTGTTTTTGGCCGAGCAAGCTTCAGACATCATGTCAGTAAAACGTCCTGGTTTTAATAAACAGCAGGAGCATATGAAGAAATCTTACAAATGTAATGAGTTTCAGTGCTAGCAGGGGCAATAACTAGAAGACTTCAGGCAGTATTCAGCTGTGTGTTGCAATTCATTCTCAAAACAATTGCATCTACAGCATCTACTCTTTCAAATTTGGCATTTTTCATTGTTTTCGCCACACAGTTCATCGGGCACAGGCAGTTTTTCACGTCTAAAAAATACAGCATACTCAGGCGGTTCCTTAATGAATGAGTTGGTTACTGGCCAGATAATCAAAGCTCAAGCCAAGAAGCAAAGCAGGGTTCAGTGCTTCAAATGCGTAGTAACATTTGGGCGGCATTATGCTAATATTTCCACATAGTGAGGTAGATATGTGGGGGCGTGTTAGAACGAGCCGTTTTAGGGGGGCGTGGCAGAGTCTTAACTTTGATAAAGAATATCTCTTTGGTTTTGAGACTTTAGTCTTTGCAACTTCAGGGATCTTATCTATGCACAATCAGCTTGTAACACTCCAAAGAGAAAGGAAAACTTGAAATCGCATCATATGACCCCTTTAAAATTAAACTACCACATATATCCAAGTTTTCCCAAGACACATAGTTCTTCAAACGCAAAAACAGGTATTAAGGGGTTGAATTAAAATAAGAAATATCTTAGTTATTTTAGCTTATTTTAATGCTTGTTTTGTCTTATTTTAAATCATTTTAAGTCTTGAGAGCCCCTTATGGTTGAGAATCAGTGCTTTCAAAATGTCTGCTAAATTACATTTTAATTTTTTTCTTTGTATTTTTCTTTATTTTTATTTTCTCTTTTATAATTTTTTATTTTTTTTTTGCATTTATGAGCAAATACATTTTTTTCCATACTAAGTAATTGACCTATAATTTGTCAATGCAAAGTCTGATCTTCATGAAATTGTTCACGTGACAAATGAACAAAATGACTTGGACCAGAACACAGTAGCAACATGGAATCATAATTATCTCAGGCTGCATTATAACTATTTCATAATTCGGAATATGATCAAAGATGGCATATGTGAATGTGTTCAATTTTTTTCAACTCGGCATAAACTAACAAAATGAATGAAATTACTTGTTTTTGGCCGAGCAAGCTTCAGACATCATGTCAGTAAAACGTCCTGGTTTTAATAAACAGCAGGAGCATATGAAGAAATCTTACAAATGTAATGAGTTTCAGTGCTAGCAGGGGCAATAACTAGAAGACTTCAGGCAGTATTCAGCTGTGTGTTGCAATTTATTCTCAAAACAATTGCATCTACTCTTTCAAATTTGGCATTTTTCATTGTTTTCGCCACACAGTTCATCGGGCACAGGCAGTTTTTCACGTCTAAAAAATACAGCATACTCAGGCGGTTCCTTAATGAATGAGTTGGTTACTGGCCAGATAATCAAAGCTCAAGCCAAGAAGCAAAGCAGGGTTCAGTGCTTCAAATGCGTAGTAGTGCACGATCATGAGATCTTATGCTGTGAATGTGGCCTGTTTTACTCGGGTATCAGCATATGTGCTAGTTTACATCTGGATGTGATGTGCAACTCAAAAGTATGAAGAAGCAGGTGGTGCAAGGATGAAGAATAGCTCATTCTATGTTATTGTTATTTACATATTCACCACCAGTCAAACGTTTTTTTAAAAAGTCTCTTCTGCTCACCAAGCCTGCATTTATTTGATCCAAAATACAGCAAAAGCAGTAATATTGTGAAATATTTTTACAATTTAAAGTAACTGTTTTCTATTTGAATATATGTTAAACTGTAATGTATTTCTGTGATGTGCAGTTGTATTTTCAGCATCATTCCTCCAGTCTTCAGTGTCACGTGATCCTTCAGAAATCATTCTAATATGCTGATTTGCAGCTCTAAAAACATTTATTATTATTATGTTGAAAACAGCTGAGTAGAATTTTTTCAGGTTTCTTTGATGAATAGAAAGTTCAGAAGAACAGCATTTATCTGAAATAGAAATCTTTTGTTACATTATAAATGTCTTTATCGTCACTTTTGATCAATTTAAAGCATCCTTGCTAAATAAAAGTATTAATTTCTATAATTTCACCCCAACAACAACAACAAAAATTATACTGACTCTAAGCTTTTGAATGGTATAGTGTATAATGTTACAAAAACGTTTTTATTTCAGATTAATGCTGATCTTTGGGTCTTTCTGTTCATCAAAGAATCCTGTAAAAAAAAAATTTACTCAACTGTTTTCAATATTGATAATAATCATTAAAAAAATATTTCTTGAACAGCAAATCAGCATATTAGAATGATTTCTGAAGATCATGTGACACTGGAGTAATGATGCTGAAAATACAGCTGGGCATCACAGAAATATATTACAGTTTAACACATTCACATAGAAAACAGTTATTTTTAAATAGTCAAAATATATCACAATATTACTGCTTTTGCTGTATTTTGGATCAAATAAATGCAGGCTTGGTGAGCAGAAGAGAGTTCTTTAAAAAAAAAACATTAGAAATCTTACTGTGTATGACACACAAGTTGCTGGCTTCTTAGTCTTGGTGTTTCTGTCTTCAGGTCCTGTGAGAGCATGCGCGAGCGAGAGATGGCCGCTAGTGTCCGGCACTGGACCCCGAAGCACGTGGGCCGCTGGCTGCGTGAAGAGGGCTTCTGCGATTACGTGGACCTGCTGTGTAACAAACACCGTCTGGACGGAACCAGCCTGCTGACGCTGAGCGAGTACGACCTGCGCTCTCCTCCGCTGGAGCTCAAGGTCCTGGGAGACATTAAACGGCTGATGGTTTCTCTCCGGAAGCTGCAGAAGCAGAACGCAGACGTATTAGAGGAGCTCGGTCTGTCCTACGACGGACACTCGCCTCAGAACAGCGCAGGTGCTCTTTCTGTTCCTGTTTTTGTCAAGTTTGTTGCCAGTTTTGTGTGTTTTATGTTGTGCAGGTGGAATGGACTGTACTTGTGTAACGGTAAAATCCTAATTTTTAGGAGGCGTTTACTTTAGAGAGAATGACTTCAAGTGCTTTACTCTACAGACAGCTGAAGCACAACACAATCATTTTAATGTCAAGCTCCAAAAAGACACACAAAACAGCATAAAGGTATTATAAAAAGCAGTTCATGTGACTTATGCACTATATTCCAAGTCTTCTGAAGCCATACAGTATGCACAAATTATATAAATTAAGTTTATGGTACTTTTCCAGTTTTGAGTGGAAAATTTAGTCCGTAAATGTGTTCTAATGGGACTGAAGAAAATTCAGCAACTTCAGCTGTAAAACAAGATGCATTTAATAGATGTTACGTGGACTTTCAGGGGTTTTACTATATAAACATCTAAAGCACAGCACGATAATTTAAGTGCTAGTGCTAAAAATATGTCAAGCTCCAAAAAAGACCCCAAAAATATATAATAAAAGGCAGCCCATATGACACACGCACTATATTCTAAAGTCTTCTGAATCCATACATAAACATATATATGGTACTTTTCCAAGTTATAAACTATGTTATGGTTCTTTTCCAAGTTCACTTCCAGTTTTGAGTGAAATATGTAGTAAATTAATTTATTCTGATAGGATTGAAGAAAATATCACCAACTTTAGCTGTAAAACAAGATGAATATAGTTGATGAAATTATACCAGAGTGACAATTTCAATAGTGCAGCATTGTATTTAATTTCAGTGAAGGTCATTTCACAGGATTCACAGATGAATAGAAAGTTCAAAAGAACAAAATGTATAAATGTCTTTACTGGCACTTCTAATCAATTTAATGCATCCTTAATGAATGAAAGTATTAAGTTCTTTAAAGTAACCTGACTGCAAGATCACATTATCCATAAGTTGCATAAAGCCAGCCAATCTCATTGCAGTTAGCAATTTCAGCTAGCATTTTCCATTTTGTTTGTGAACAGTGTGCATCTGATGTGAAACATTTTAAGACATTATAGGAATTTTTCTAATGCAAAGCGTGTTCTAAAAGGCAGGCAATATAATTATTTGGCTTTCTCGTATCTCTACATGCATTACAGAAAACATGGTCTGCCTTCTTATAATAAAAAAAAAAAACACTTGGTCTTGATAAACCCTGTTTTCTCCAATATTGTCATGCATTTCTGCTTCACATGACTAGCGCTATTTCTATTGCGTAAGACTCAAGGCTGTATTTCCTGAAAGAATCACAAGCCAGTTTGCACCACGGTTCTCTGCGATCAGCTCACGAGGCTTCTGGGAAACGCAGCCCAGATCAGTCACTTACAGTTTTACATTTCCATTAGGATTCTGCTTTAGAAGCTGCTTTAATTCGGTTTAAACGCTTCTTGCATTAGACTTTTTGAATCGACTTGAACATAAAGGTTTAGCAAACTGGGGTAGGTGATTGGATGAAAAGCTAATAATTAATTAAAACATTCAAATTTTAAATGAAAAGATAACTGCTAAAACTACTTACCTGCATGTTACGTGACCATTAACTGTCATTAGAGAACCGTATACATGTGAAAGTGTTGTTAAAAGTTAACTTTTTAGATTTTTTAACATCAATCAATGTTTGGGAATTGCATTAAATTCACATTTTTAAGCCATTTCAGAGAAAATGCATAGGAATATCATCAAAAGCCTAAGAAATATGATGATGCCAGGTTTGAGTCATGCTCCAGCACCCCTAAAACTCATTTGACTCTATTTCTTTTTTCGCTTGCTGATGATTGAGGGTTCTGGTGGCACAAATAATAGTAAGCAGCTCTGATGGTGAGCTGTACCCATTGATGATAATTTTCTCAATCATGCACCACAGGACCTGGTTAGAGTTCACAGCTGAAGATGAGCATGAAAACATCATAAAATAAAAGCATAAATCACCATTTGTTTGGAGGAAGATTATGTTTTGTTGGCTCTGTCTCTCTTTATCACCTTTCACCTGCTTCTCTTCTCCCTCCAGTGTACCCAGAATCCCCTGGGCGTTTACGATGGCTGAGGCCTGTGGCGTGATCCTCTGTTCTGTTTGGCTGCTAGTTCTGCTGCTTCATAAACACAGGTAACAAACATATGCGCACATTTATAATATATGCATGCATTTATACACAATATATACTTACAAAGTATATGCATGCATGCATATAGTTTTACAGCTGTTGCATGTAATTTATTGCATAAAATACTAAAATCCTGCACATAGGCAAGACACCAAAATGGGACATCTCATACACAATTTTCAGGAATTAATTATAAATAATTATTTGTCTCTTTTGGCATAAATATCACTTGGTGTGTGTTTTTTTTTTTTTTCTTGTCCAAACAAACCATTTCCAACAGTAGTGCAATGAAAGTCATTTCAGAGGTGGAGGGAATTATTACATTTCAATGAAAGATTATGAAGACGAACATTTTTCTCCTGTAGAATAATGAAACCTGCACAATAGTAGCAGGAATGTGTGTTGAGAATATTAGGTTTGGACACCGACAGCAGCAGCATCTCTTCATCTGACGCTCACAGAAAGCAAAGGTCAGGCCATCAAAGAGGCTTTTATCCCTGACCCTGTGTTTCTGTCAGGTCGATCCTGTTGAGGCGGTTGTGTAGTCTCATGGGGACGGTCTTCATGCTGCGCTGCATCACTATGTTTGTGACGTCTCTCTCTGTCCCGGGGCAACACCTGCAGTGCACTGGGAAGGTGCGGACATCATCACACACACACACACACACACACACACACACACACACACACACACACACACACACACACACACTCACTCTGATCCATAACCCAGTAAACTACACGAAGACTGTTCTGAAAGGTAGGCTGCATAACGATGAGATGGCATTACATTTGTCCTTCATGGAGAAGCAGATCCCAGAAGCGTTTTCCTTCTCCAGTGAACGTTCCTATGCCTCATCACAATTATTTTTGATCCTAAAATATTTAATTTGACTCCCCTTGACGTTTTTATTAATATTAGGTATTAATAAAAATAATACTAATATTTTAATCATTTAACAACACATTTGCATGTTCATAGTTTGCTGATGTCACTTAATTGTCACTTGACATACAGGTAAACAAATCAAATGCTGCATCTTTTTATAAGTGTTAATGGTTTTAATTGTACAATTATTTATTTTAATTTTTAGATATTTTTTATTTAATTAATTATTAGCTTTAAAAAACTCATCAATGCCCTGCAATAATCTGGCACTTTTTTTTTTACATAAAGATTTTTGTAAATACATTTTTTTATTTAAAATAAAATAAAACACATTTAAATTTAAAATACAATTTATTTAAATATTTTATTATTATTATTATTTTGTCATTATACATTTTCTGAATACTTATTCCAATGAGAGTAAAAATAAATATGGTACTAAAATTATTTTTATTTTAAACAACTTAAATTAAAAGTATGTGTATATATATAAAATTTTTGTTGAATAAATAATTTTTTTGCATTATGAAATTGTTTTCATGACACATTTATCCTAATTTAATATTATTATTATTATTATGTAATTCTAAATGTTCTCAACTTTTAAAATAACTTAAATTATCTGTCTGTCTGTCTGTCTATCATACAATAAACACCGTATTGAAATGATTTTTATTTTAAACGGCTTCAATTAAAACCAAAACAACCATAACTGCCTTAATGTTTAATATTTTACACTTTCATTTAGAATAATATTTCTTGTTTCCTTGTGATTTTTAAAATAAAGTATGACCTAGACAAAATGTGAAAAATGTTGAATAAGCATATTGTTCATTATTCCATTCATACCTGAAATTATAGAGAAAAGACTGTTTGTCTTATTTGTGCGCTGTGTATTTTATGCTTATTTGACTTATCACATTATTGACTGCAAACTCTATTGAAAATGAAGTCATTTTTCACAATAAGCCGTCTCTCTGTATTTATGTCCGTGTCAGATATACGGTGACATGTGGGCGAAGCTGCAGCGAGCCGTGGCCATATGGAGCGGTTTCGGCATGACGCTGACCGGAGTGCAGACGTGTGGAGATTACATGTTCAGCGGACACACCGTCGTCCTCACCATGCTCAACTTCTTCGTCACCGAGTGTAAGTTGACACACAATAGCTATATTTCCATCCAAAGTTACAAATTAAATGCGCAAAATTGGAATATCGCATAAAACATTTGCAAATGAAGAGGAGAAAATCATCACTTTCTAATTAACTTGCGCTAAATATCATGAAGAAAAAGTACATTTGCTGCAGTATAGTAGAAGGCGCTGTACTGTATAGAATATTTTTTGTATACAATAAATGACGAGCTTCAGAGCACGCAGACGAAACACAGTCATGTTATCTTATTTTCAGAGCCTGCTGTTTGGGAACGTAGTTCTGGGAGTTCATTATAACGAAGCACTTTAACGAGACTTTACTCAAGCATTTTAGAATGACAAAACTAGCATTTCAGATGCTGTGCAATGAGATCGGTCCGTTGGTTGGTCCAGTTCTATGCTGTCCCATCGCAAAGTCATGCCTTTTTTGATATGCATTAAGCAATTTATTCAGTAAAATGTTTTCTTACCGGATAAGAAATTTATCCTACTTAGTTGAGCGCATACGTTTTTTAGAATTGATGCTCATCTTGGCGTTTCCATCCAGCGTTTTCTTTTTTAGGCGATATCCCAAAATGTGCATAAATAGGTGGATGGAAACATAGCTACTAGGGGTGTCGAAATTAACCGTTTCTACGATGCATCGCGATGCAGACGAGGACGATTCGGTATCGGTTCAGTAATAGACCATAACCGATTATAACGTACTGGCGCTTTTCTGACGTCATTTGTCGCATACGTGCTTTGTATGTAGGGTATCCAATGTAGCATACAATGGCGGAGGGAGGCGAGATGCGAGTACGAGTAACTAAAAATGCTCCAACTACTTTAAAAGCCGACATCTGGCCACATTTCGGCTTTTATGAACAACCTGGTAAGCATGCTGTGTGTAAATCATGTCACGCACAAATAAAATATGCAGGGGGTAATACCACTAACTTGAGAAACCATGTCAGGTTCAGTTCTTGTATTTATTGACAAACTTGTATACATGTGAAGTAAAATAGAAAATTGAGGATGCAGTGCATTGTGATATCGTATTGAACTGAATCAATGACATGTTAATCGTAATCGAACCGAACCGTGAGACCAGTGTAGGTCCCTAATAGCTACTGATTGCTGTGGTGATTGAGATCCTCCTCTCCGTCTGCAGACACGCCGCGCAGCTGGAACTTCATCCACACGCTCTCCTGGGTCCTCAACCTGTTCGGCATCTTCTTCATCCTGGCAGCACACGAGCACTACTCCATCGACGTCTTCATCGCCTTCTACATCACCACCAGACTCTTCCTGTACTACCACACGCTGGCTAACACTCGCGCCTACCAGCAGAGCCGCCGCGCACGCATCTGGTTCCCCATGTTCTCCTTCTTCGAGTGCAATGTTAACGGACCTGTTCCAAACGAGTACTGCTGGCCGTTCGCTCGCCCCGGCTTCCTCAGCACACACACACACACACACACACACACACACACACACACACACACACACACACACACACACTCACTCTGATCCATAACCCAGTAAACTACACGAAGACTGTTCTGAAAGGTAGGCTGCATAACGATGAGATGGCATTACATTTGTCCTTCATGGAGAAGCAGATCCCAGAAGCGTTTTCCTTCTCCAGTGAACGTTCCTATGCCTCATCACAATTATTTTTGATCCTAAAATATTTAATTTGACTCCCCTTGACGTTTTTATTAATATTAGGTATTAATAAAAATAATACTAATATTTTAATCATTTAACAACACATTTGCATGTTCATAGTTTGCTGATGTCACTTAATTGTCACTTGACATACAGGTAAACAAATCAAATGCTGCATCTTTTTATAAGTGTTAATGGTTTTAATTGTACAATTATTTATTTTAATTTTTAGATATTTTTTATTTAATTAATTATTAGCTTTAAAAAACTCATCAATGCCCTGCAATAATCTGGCACTTTTTTTTTTACATAAAGATTTTTGTAAATACATTTTTTTATTTAAAATAAAATAAAACACATTTAAATTTAAAATACAATTTATTTAAATATTTTATTATTATTATTATTTTGTCATTATACATTTTCTGAATACTTATTCCAATGAGAGTAAAAATAAATATGGTACTAAAATTATTTTTATTTTAAACAACTTAAATTAAAAGTATGTGTATATATATAAAATTTTTGTTGAATAAATAATTTTTTTGCATTATGAAATTGTTTTCATGACACATTTATCCTAATTTAATATTATTATTATTATTATGTAATTCTAAATGTTCTCAACTTTTAAAATAACTTAAATTATCTGTCTGTCTGTCTGTCTATCATACAATAAACACCGTATTGAAATGATTTTTATTTTAAACGGCTTCAATTAAAACCAAAACAACCATAACTGCCTTAATGTTTAATATTTTACACTTTCATTTAGAATAATATTTCTTGTTTCCTTGTGATTTTTAAAATAAAGTATGACCTAGACAAAATGTGAAAAATGTTGAATAAGCATATTGTTCATTATTCCATTCATACCTGAAATTATAGAGAAAAGACTGTTTGTCTTATTTGTGCGCTGTGTATTTTATGCTTATTTGACTTATCACATTATTGACTGCAAACTCTATTGAAAATGAAGTCATTTTTCACAATAAGCCGTCTCTCTGTATTTATGTCCGTGTCAGATATACGGTGACATGTGGGCGAAGCTGCAGCGAGCCGTGGCCATATGGAGCGGTTTCGGCATGACGCTGACCGGAGTGCAGACGTGTGGAGATTACATGTTCAGCGGACACACCGTCGTCCTCACCATGCTCAACTTCTTCGTCACCGAGTGTAAGTTGACACACAATAGCTATATTTCCATCCAAAGTTACAAATTAAATGCGCAAAATTGGAATATCGCATAAAACATTTGCAAATGAAGAGGAGAAAATCATCACTTTCTAATTAACTTGCGCTAAATATCATGAAGAAAAAGTACATTTGCTGCAGTATAGTAGAAGGCGCTGTACTGTATAGAATAGTTTTTGTATACAATAAATGACGAGCTTCAGAGCACGCAGACGAAACACAGTCATGTTATCTTATTTTCAGAGCCTGCTGTTTGGGAACGTAGTTCTGGGAGTTCATTATAACGAAGCACTTTAACGAGACTTTACTCAAGCATTTTAGAATGAAAAACTTAGCATTTCAGATGCTGTGCAATGAGATCGGTCCGTTGGTTGGTCCAGTTCTATGCTGTCCCATCGCAAAGTCATGCCTTTTTTGATATGCATTAAGCAATTTATTCAGTAAAAGTGTTTCCATCGTAGTTTATCCACATGTTTTCTTACCGGATAAGAAATTTATCCTACTTAGTTGAGCGCATACATTTTTTAGAATTGATGCTCATCTTGGCGTTTCCATCCAGCGTTTTCTTTTTTAGGCGATATCCCAAAATGTGCATAAATAGGTGGATGGAAACATAGCTACTAGGGGTGTCGAAATTAATCGTTTCTACGATGCATCGGGATGCAGACGAGGACGATTCGGTATCGGTTCAGTAATAGACCATAACCGATTATAACGTACTGGCGCTTTTCTGACGTCATTTGTCGCATACGTGCTTTGTATGTAGGGTATCCAATGTAGCATACAATGGCGGAGGGAGGCGAGATGCGAGTACGAGTAACTAAAAATGCTCCAACTACTTTAAAAGCCGACATCTGGCCACATTTCGGCTTTTATGAACAACCTGGTAAGCATGCTGTGTGTAAATCATGTCACGCACAAATAAAATATGCAGGGGGTAATACCACTAACTTGAGAAACCATGTCAGGTTCAGTTCTTGTATTTATTGACAAACTTGTATACATGTGAAGTAAAATAGAAAATTGAGGATGCAGTGCATTGTGATATCGTATTGAACTGAATCAATGACATGTTAATCGTAATCGAACCGAACCGTGAGACCAGTGTAGGTCCCTAATAGCTACTGATTGCTGTGGTGATTGAGATCCTCCTCTCCGTCTGCAGACACGCCGCGCAGCTGGAACTTCATCCACACGCTCTCCTGGGTCCTCAACCTGTTCGGCATCTTCTTCATCCTGGCAGCACACGAGCACTACTCCATCGACGTCTTCATCGCCTTCTACATCACCACCAGACTCTTCCTGTACTACCACACGCTGGCTAACACTCGCGCCTACCAGCAGAGCCGCCGCGCACGCATCTGGTTCCCCATGTTCTCCTTCTTCGAGTGCAATGTTAACGGACCTGTTCCAAACGAGTACTGCTGGCCGTTCGCTCGCCCCGGCTTCCTCAGACGCCTCATCGGCTGATTCTCCACAGACGCTGCTGATTCTTGAGATGCCATGATGAAGAGGAGGCCAAAACCTCTTGACCAGACGCGGACAGTAGTGAAGCATTTTTACTCTGCTTTAGAAGTACTTTAAAAAAAAAACTTTACTTCACAACATTCCAAAGTATAATATTGTACTTTTTACTGCACTACGTTTCATATTAAATATAATTTAATACTTAATTACATTACAAATCTAGTACTCAAGTAAAAGTAATTCAAAGATTTACTTAAGAACAGTAAAAATTTAGTACTTTTTTGTACTCCACTATTAAAGGTAAAAAAACAAACCCAACAACTTTTATTTACGAAATGCTGTGCAGTAAAAAGTACAACATTATGCTTTGGAATGTAGTGAAGTAAAAGTTTTCCAGAGAAAAACACTACTGATACTTTTTAAATTTACTTGAGTAAAGTAAAAATACTTCTGTCCACCTCTGCTCTCGATCAATACATTCACACACACGCACACACACACACTCACACCCACACATATACACACGCACGCACACACACACACTCTCACACACACTCACACACATATACACACGCACGCACACTCACACACGCACACACACACACTCACACCCACACATATACACACGCACGCACACACACACACTCTCACACACACTCACACACATATACACACGCACGCACACTCACACACGCACACACACACACTCACACCCACACATATACACACGCACGCACACACACACACTCTCACACACACTCACACACATATACACACGCACGCACACTCACACACGCACACACACACACTCACACCCACACATATACACACGCACGCACACACACACACTCTCACACACACTCACACACATATACACACGCACGCACACTCACACACGCACACACACACACTCACACCCACACATATACACACGCACGCACACACACACACTCTCACACACACTCACACACATATACACACGCACGCACACTCACACACGCACACACACACACACACTCTCACACACACACACACACACACACACACACGCACACATTTGTTTTTGTGAATTGTGAGGACATTTCATAGACGTAATGGTTTTTATACTGTACAAACCGTATTTTCTATTGCCCTACACCAACCCTACACCTAAACCTACCCCTCACAGGAGACTTTGTGCAGTTTTATATTTAAAAAAAAACTCGTTCTGAATGATTTATAAGCCTTTTGAAATATGGGGACACTCAAAATATCTTCATAAATCATCTTCTCGTTGAAATACCTGTCATACCCATGTCATTATACAAATTTGTGTCCTCATAAATCACAAAAACGTGCACACACTCACACACATATACGCACACACACACATATACACACACACAGGTTTCCTCCAGTAGCTGTTGTCTTTAAAGGGATTTCTGTGCCCCATACTGGCTTATTTTTTTTCAAGTCGGAAACTAAAACTACTAAACTGGAACTATGAAAGTCTTGCTTTTTCTGTTGACTGGGAAACCTCTTAAAATGGTTTGCATGACAGTCAGTATTCATTTCACCTAGTTTCCTAATAATACTGTAGATACTTGATGTTGTAAATTCCTCGTTTCAGATTTTTAGTGTTGTAAAGATACTGACATGATCAACCTTTGAAGCAATATGAAACGTCTTACTGTTCTTTTAAAAGGCTTTGTGTGAAACCGTATGGTTTTAATTGAATTATGATTGTTGCATTTTGGTCTTATTGCCATTATTGTTGCTATTTTCATAGTGCAGACTTTATTTTGGCAGTATTAGTGTTTATATGGGATGACAAAATGAAAATACTTTGTTTAAGAGTTAAAATTGTCCCCTGCATTTTAGTGAATCTCACAAAATGTCATTTCACACATGTATATATATATATATATATATATATATATATATATATATATATATATATATATATATATAACAATAAACATGTTTGTCATGAAACAACTTCACAATGCAAGAACAAATGTTTTTTTATTTAATACAAATTAAATTAATATGTATTTTTTTTGCATTATGACGTTCTCCTGACAAACTCATGTTCCTTTTAATATTATTATTATTATTTTGTAATTTATAGTGTTAAATAAACAACAGCATATATCTATAACAAAAAATTATAATAAATGTGTTTGTCATGAATGATAGGAAATAATAGGAAATCATGAACCAATGGCATAATGCAAAATATTATAACATTTAATAAAATTCAAATCATTTTTCACACACTCCATACGCTACGTAACACGATCTAGCCTCTCGTGGACTTTTGTGAAGCCTGGAAATGTATTTTTGCAGATTTGAGTGTTTGATTGGATACTGACGGGATTTTGGATGCTGATCGTTTATCTGGCATCATCAATAAAATTGACAGATTAAACTGAAATGAGATAAGTGGAGTTTCTGTCCAAGCCTTTTTTAGGATAATGGTAATAATAAGGATAAAAATTAGCATAATAACTAGTTTTTGGATCCTGATCACCCCATTCTAACATTTAAAAGGAAGCTATATATTTTAATGTATAAAAATAAGCAGAAAAAAATTAATAACAAATTTGGAAAAAAAAAAGAAATGAAAGGGTTTTTCATATTTTCTTTCATTTTAATATTTTTTTCCCCCCAAATCATTTAAATCAATCTTCATTTTTTTTATTTTAATATTGTTCAACTATTTTTATTTATTTATGTTTAATCTTATTTTTTTTCTACGCTTTATTTTCTAATTTTCCATAGACCTTCTAGCACTTCCTTGTAGCCCCCTGAATAATAATAAAATTAGAATATAAAATATTTCAGACTTTGCCTATTTACAACGAATTAATAATATGTATTATTATAATATTATATATTTGTCTCTATATAACTCTGAACTTTGCGATTAAATTAATCTCTTAATATTTTTGTAGATTATTTTTTGTCTTTTAGGTTTTAGAAATTAAATTTCAGTACTACAAATTATTATTTTCCTGCTCTATTGTTGTGCATTTAATAACACATAAACATGAGAATGTCTGCAACAGACCTAATAGTTAATAATAATAATAATTTTATTATTGTTATATATTTTTGTATTGTTATTAATAATTGTTATTTTTTATAAATTATTAAAATATTATAAATTATTATACATATGAAGTAAGCTGTCAGGGTTGAATATTGTCCTCTTGTTTTATGTAACTTAAATATTAACTTATAAATGAAAATGAAACACATCTACATAAATGATAAATTCTCATTTTAAATGAGTTAATATTAGTAATACATTTAGAATATAAATTAAATGTTGCACTTTGCCTATTTCAAATGAGGTGATAATTATAATGTAATAATAATAATGAATATTATTATTAAAAAAATTATTATAGATGTGAAATAATAAATTGTCAGAAAATGAGTGGCAGCAGAAGTTGTTCTCTAGTGTTATTGTATGTAATAAATTGCATGCATTTACATGAAAAATATTTATTGTTTAATAAAATATATTTTTTAATCGTTTCTTTTGGAACAGTAGAAATCACTGATAATTTTCAAGCGGTCGTTTTGTCAAGTTTTTTTAATTGTGTGTACTGTGCATATTTTCTTTATAATTGAACAAAATATATAAAATGATAATAAAATATAATACAGAGTCATTGTGTGTGCAGATATGATGGCTGTTCCTCCGGCGTACGCAGACCTGGGAAAGGCTGCAAAGGATGTCTTTAACAAGGGCTACGGTAACACGCTTCTCTCCCTCAGCTCTGCAGAAAACACTCGTTTAAACATGCATATTGTGTTATATTTACACCTGTGTGTTTCTGAATGCTGAAGGGTTTGGGACGGTGAAGCTTGACGGCAAAACCAAGTCTGCTAACGGAGTGGTGCGTGCTTTCTTAATTCACATTTTCTGTGCGCAGTTCATCCATGCACAGGATTTAAGGGTTTCTGTTTCAGGTCTTAATTCACCCTTCCATACATGAAGACTTTTAAAAAGTCTTAAATCAGAGCAGGAAGTCACTGGCAGTAAATGTTGCATGAACTGCAAATGATCATTATCTTCCTCAGTTTTTTTATGTCTTGATTCCAGTACAAATATCTAAACACCCTTAAATCAAGGTACTTTTACTGGAGATGCAAAATCTAGAAATCACTACACACACACACACACACACACACACAAATACATACACACACATACATACACACACACACACACACACACACACACACAAATACATACACACACACATTACAAATAAAAAAATATATATTGTTTATAAGTTTTTTTATGGTGTTACATAAAAAGTGTAACTTGAAATAAAATAAACTTGTAAATAAAATGATCTAAACTGAAGTAAAATGAAAGTATAAAAAAGAACTTAAAATGAATTTGTCATATAGTTACCAAGGCGACATTTCTCCTTTTAATTTAGCTTAATTTTGAACAAAATGAGTAATTAAATAATAAATAAAAATAATAAAATAAAAAATAAATATGCATATTAAAAAAAACAACAACAAGACATATATATATACACACACACACACACACACACACAAAAATGAACTAAAATTAAAACAAATTCAAAATATTAATAAAAACTATAATAGTAACTTACTAAAATACCACAGAATGGAAGTTTGACATTTGAGAACATATTAATGTATTGTGCTTCCTTTATTTATCCCTTAAATCTACCTTCATCATTTTTCATTTAGTCATTTTGCAGATGCTTTTGTCCAAAGCGACTTACAAATGGGGAAAGAGGCAAACAGACACAGGAAGTGCTCGTCATACCCAGGTTTAGGCATTGTTCAAATAAGTACAAGCTAGACAGGGAAGGAATAAATAAAGAGAAAGACAACGTTTTTTAATTTATTTTTTATTTCTTAACCCTGTTAAGAGCAAGCATCTGAATGCAATGACTTGCTCTTCCTCTGAATGGCGTTGCTCAGATGTCCTCCAGCTCATGCAGGCCGTTGTATGATATAATAATGCCTCTGATTTTGACTGTCAGGAGTTTAAAACACGTGGCACGTCTAACATGGACTCAAACAAGGTCAGCGGGAACCTGGAGACCAAGTATAAATGGGCCGAGTACGGACTGACCTTCTCTGAGAAGTGGAGCACGGACAACACGCTGGGCACGGAGATCAGCGTGGAGGACCAGGTGCAGAAAAATAACTTCCTTATGATTCCTTCAGTCGTGGAGAACCTAGATCCTCCTGACCACCAGCTCTGGAGAGCACATTATGTTTTAGCGATTTCTCGGAGACCTCACATGTCACAGTGTTAGGTCTGGATGTCCTGCACAGAGCACATTCATGTACATATAATAAATCAGCAGCTCAGGAAAATGTTATGGGGTTTCAGATCAAAATATGAGCTTCTGTTATGAAACAGGACATCGATTTCATACATGTCCACTGTAGAGGACACCAGGACTTAAAGCATGTTTATTGAGACGTAAAACTTATATATCAATATTCCTATGACGTATTAGATATTATTATGAAAATCTTGCTAATTATTACTCCCGTTATTGCACTTATTTGTGCATTCTATGTTGCCCCAAAAACACATTAATATGCAAATTAGATACAGTTTATAGATACATTGTATATAATGGAAAAACTCGTTTATGGCCATTTTACACACATTTTGCATAAAGAAAAATGGTTTTTAAAAATATCTTTCATAATATAGTTGAGAGTCATCTTTTGGTAATAAAAAATTAAAATAGATTTGTGATTAAAACAACAATCCCACTGTTTTTGCCTTTTCATGTCTATTCATTGTCTTTTTTATTTTTTTTAAAAACAGGACTTTTTAAAGTCCCGATGTCCTCTAACGTATGCATAAAATATATTTTTTTTCCAAAAGTTTTCTTACGCTCTAAACAATGTAATGACATGACAAAACAGTTTTTTCCTGGATATAGTGATTTTCTGACCTGGAGAAGCAAATCCTGAGAATTCAAGAATACTTGTACAGTACGTGTTAATACACATTACCAGTCAAAGCACTGGTAAATAAAGAAAGAGTAAAACATTTAAAATTGTGAAATAGTTTTACAATTTAAAACAGCTGTTTTCTATGTGAATATCTGTTAAACTGTAATGTATTTCTGTGATGCGCAGCTGTATTTTCAGCATCATTACTCCAGTCTTCAGTGTCACATGATCTTCAGAAATCAGTATAATATGCTGATCTGCTGCTCAAGAAACATTTCTGATTATCATCAATATTTTTACTCAAGTAAATGCAAAAATCACTTTTCAAAAACATTTTTAAAAAAATTTCTTCAGTGTCACATGATCTTCAGAAATCAGTATAATATGCTGATCTGCTGCTCGAGAAACATTTCTGATTATCATCAATATTTTTACTCAAGTAAATGCAAAAATCACTTTTCAAAAACATTTAAAAAAAAATCATAATTATTCCAAACTTTTGTCTAGTAGTGTTTATTTTTATAGTTACACTAAAATCTTACTTCTTCATCTGAAATTCACTCTTTGCATATGTTTTAACCACTAATGGATTATTTTAATTTTTAACCCTTTCAAAATGATTAGCAAATTAAAACCATTTCACATTAAAATTACATTTAATGTGTTACTATCTGGTGTACCTTAGCAATCCTTTATTTATTTATTTATTTATTTATCTATCATTTAAATAGTATAATTTATAAATAATAATGTATTATTATTAATAAGTAAATAAATAAATAAAAAGTTAACTAAATGTTATTTATAATTAATTAATGTTTGTTTAAACTATATGAGCAATTGTGAAAACAAAAATGTATATTCTCCGTTATTGGTGAATAATATATTTTGCATTTCGTTATATTTTGTGTTTCTCAGCTCACCGGAGGACTGAAGCTGACCTTTGACACGACCTTCTCACCAAACACTGGGTACGATGACGTGAAGTATCCTGAGCTTGAGATGAGGTGATCTCTGAGCTTTTAAATGATTTTAGCAAATGGTTGCAATATAACAAAGAGTGAAAAATTTAAGGGGGTCTGAATACTTTCCGTACCCACTGTATCTCGACCAAATATTGTTCTATCCTAACAGACCATACATCAATGGAAAGATTATTTATTCAGCTTTCAGATGATGTATACATCTCAATTTCGTAAAAAAAATAGACCCTTATGACTGGTTTTGTGCTCCAGGGTCACATATTTGTTTATTCATATAACAACCTAATGCAGTGCAGACAGTGATTCAATGAGAATATTTAAATCTGTAAGCTGTCAATTAGCAAACATCCAAAGCAAGTTATATGGCTCTTAAACTCATCCGTTGGAGCAAACTGGGGTTAAGCATCATCATATAACAACCTAATGCAGTGCAGACAGTGATTCAATGAGAATATTTAAATCTGTAAGCTGTCAATTAGCAAACATCCAAAGCAAGTTATATGGGGTTAAACATCGTTATTCATTAACTATGTTATAAGTCTCAGGTTTAAATATTAACCTACATAAAGGCAGCGCTGAAGGTTTATGGTCTCTGATAAAGACAGATTTATGTGATTGTGGAAAACCCAGGTTTCCACTTCCTACTTGAAAATGTGATTATAGTAAATATGAAATATTGTATGCTTTGTATAGTGAGTTTATGAACGGTAAAGTGGACTACTAATGAAGTTCTGTTCTAGAAAACATTCAACAAATGGAAAAAGAAAGAGAAGCAAAGTTGCTTCTTGCACAATAAGACCAGTAATGAGCATGAATAGAGAAGTAAACAGAGTCAGCTCATATGAATCTCACCAGTCTCCAGAAAGATTGCTCAGACCTTCGAGCTGTATTATATTATTTATGTTTGTGCAGTGTATTATGAAGTGCCATACCAATTTCAATAGCTTTCTTGGCCTTGATTAAACTGGCTAGATTTGCCATGAACTGCGACTGCTCACAGGCCACCATGATCATGCTCCACTCATGCTCCATGGTTTTCTAGAGATAATAATTAAGCACAATTACTGAAATTAAGTTTGTTAAACACAGTCACTGTACAACACCCATTTGGGGAATTACAAAAGCAAACAAATTATTCTTAGGCATTTATTAGAAGTGATAATTGTCTTGATACCTTCACATTTCCTTTGGATTTTATTGCTATTATCCGTATGAAAGCCACAGACGTCGTTATGAAGAGAAATATGAACCTGGCGTAGTTTTTGGAGGGCTGGATGTTCCCTGAGCGAGTGATTGATAGGGATGGGCGTATCGATCCGAAGTATCAATATATCGATACTGATGCGAGTATCGAAAGTATCGATACTCAAACAATAAATATCGATACTAAGGTGCGTTTTATTTACCAGTGATTTTGTTTATTTAACAAATAAATAAGGCATTTAATTGGACGAATAACCTATGTTAGTAAATAATTGTGTAGGATAGAACTATTTTCCTGCTCATCTGAACCAATCCATCACAGAGAGCGTTCACTCACTGCTGACAGTGCATTCAAACAGGGCTGCGTTTCCCAAAAGTATCATAAGACAGTATTAAAGCTTTTGGGAACGGCAGCCCTGAACAATGCTTATCAGAGGACAGAAGAAAAAAAACATATATGTTTGAGTTATTTCACAATAAACAAATTGAAATTAGCCTACATAGTTTGTGCAATTACATTTATTGAAATTGAACGTTGAAAGATAATATTGATCATATTAATAGAAATCATACACTGTCAAAAAAGGTTGCATTTTATGCATGCAACAGCCTGTCACTGGCAGTCCTTTATGAAAATGAACCGTAGTTCAACTGTAGGATTTGTAGATTCGAATCATGTGTAAACAAAAAACATATTTGAACCATGTGTAAACAAGAAGATAACCTAATAAGTTACAATTAAGGCATATTGAATGTTAAAATGTGTTTTAAACAAAGTTAAGTGGTTATGATTACCCATTTTACTCTTAGTAATTTAATACATTTCATAATTTAAAAGTTTAGTTCAGAAGTATCGTATCGATATCGACGATACTGCCTTGAAAAATATCAGTATCGTATCGAAAACAAAATAAGTGGCATCGCCCATCCCTAGTGATTGAGGAGGTACTGCATCACTGGATCATCTTTCCTTTCCACGTGACTTTTACCCGACGACATTCTCAACAGTTTAGATTTGCGTTTGCCTTTACAAAGAAGAAATCAGAGAAAGAACTTCATTCGGGATACTCTGCATGGTATGCACGCTAGTGGAACTTTATTAAGACAACTCCTTATTTTAATCTTCTGCCTGCAGGTGGGATTTGGTGCAGTTATTATTATTATTATCATTAATTGACTTTTAATAAATGTTTTTGTTATTGATTTACAATTTCAACATGAAATAAGCAGTTTAATTTTACTAAAACTTTTTCAATTTCACATGCATTTTTTTTTACTACCATTTATATATATATATATATATATA